ACGGCCCACGCACGAAGTGCAATGCCCGTTAGGAGGCAGGAGTGTGGGAGTATGAGTGTGATGGCCGAAGGCCGTGATAATTGCCAGATGAGAGGAGATAGCTGGCCCATGGTTGCCCAGCCTCCATGCTAAGTTGTGACATATTGCAATGCACGTGAATGACACTTTTGTTGCTATCAGCGCATTTTGTCAGCACAATCCTAGCAGAGCAAGTTGCTGTGCTGTACCAAACAGTCAGCCGTGTGGGTACATGCATGGGTGCGAGTTGCGTGCCCGCGTGGCGGGTTCTTACATACCTCAATGCGTTCTGTGATGCGCTTGTACCTCTGACAGCTTTTGGGTCAGCTGCGCCATGTCTGTGTCGGTGGTCCTGATGTAGCGCAAGACGCTGTCGCTCCTCCATCGGCCCATTGCCCTGATTAGCCAGTCAGGGGTACCCGCCATGGCTGCCGTTGTGGCGGCACCGATGCGGAACGAATGACCGCGTAATCGCGCGAATTGGGTGTTCCCGTGAGTGGGAGAAGCTGTCGGAGCTCTTCTGTCAGCGCCTGCCTGGTCAGCGGTCTCCCAGAGCGGTAGCGGAAGAGTGCGTCAGCGGCGTCAGACGGACAGACTGTAAAATATGCCAGGAGGGCAGCAACCGGGCAAGGTTGTGAAGTGGTACTATCGATTATCACTGCATGTCCCTGACGGAATTGGTCCGTCTTCGATTGCTTGATGTAGAAGCGGATATATGTGCGTCCTTGAGTGACGTCCAGAGTCACATCCTGGCGCGTGGCATGAGTGGCAGGGTCAAACCCGGCCGGAGGCGCAGTGAATTCCGCGCATCGGAGAAATCCGAAAAAGGCGAGCACCATTGCCGCCTTGAGCATGCACTTGTCCTGCTGGTGACGCCGTTGGTCCAGGCTGAGTTGGTTGAGGAGCTTCCGCAGCAAATCAATGGTGATTGGGAGGCGAGTGCGCTGGGTTGCTGGGTCAGTCACCGTCCTCTTGATGCCTCGCATAACACGTGGCAGCAGCAACGCGTTCATCGTTGGATCTCGGAATCCGGCTTCGAGATGCATGTTGCGTACTGCGGCCATGTAGACGTGAATTGTCTGTGGTTGAACCGATTGCGTGAGGTGTGCTGCGAAGCAGCTGAGCATCGTGTCTGTAGCCGGCATGGGCGTCCATCTTTGCAACGCACAGAATTGCGTAAACTTCCTTTCGCCAGTGGTGTACGTGCGCCGCGTTGTTGGGGCGATTGCCATGGCTGCCAGGTCGGCGACCTCCCGCATCAGTCCAGGAGGGGGAGGTGGATTGCAGTGTCCGGGGCTTGCCGTGCCGATGGTGCCAGCTGCTGGAATGCCTGCAGGTTGAAACGAGACAGAGCATCGGCGATCGAATTCAGATGGCCAGGTACATATTTGGCAGTAATGGTGAAGCTGTGAGTTGCACAAACGAAGAACAATGCACGCAGCAGTGACATCATGCCTGGTGACTTGCTGGAGGTTGACTTCACGCATTCGACAACAGACTGATTGTCGCAATGCATTACGATACGTTGCCGGGACCACAGATGGCCCCAAGTACTGCAAGCCATCGCCACGGCATAGAGCTCTTTGTATCCGATGCTCTCTTCTTCTTGCTCCTTTGTCCATCTGCCCTGGATCCAGCGCTGCTCCTTGCCGTAGAATGCGCCCCAGCCGAGAGTGCCGCTAGCGTCTGTGTACAGTCCAAGGTCGGCCGACGATGTACTGCTGTTATAGAGGAGGAATGCCTTCCCGTTCCAGTGCTGGATCAGAAGCTGCCACCAGCGGATGTCTTTCCTGGCCTCGCCTGTCAGAGTGATACGGAAATAGGGCTTGGCGCGGCTAAACCTCTTGTTGATATCCCATAAGCGCCGTGTAAATGTTCTGCCTGGTACGACGACGCTCGACGCAAAGGAGAGTTTCCCCAGGAAGTGATCGAGTTTGCGTTGCGTGGTCTGGGTGCAGCGTGACATCTCGCTGAGGAGCTCGCGGAGGTCCGCCAGTTTGTCGTCTGGGAGACGGGCTTCCATGCGCACCGTGTCCAGCACAATTCCGAGGAAGACCAGGGATGTAGACGGGCCCTCGAGCTTTTCTTCGGCTAGTGGGATTGATAGGTATTCGAATGCTTGCAGGATGACGTCCTTTGCCTGGATAGCAAGGCTTCGCTGAGGAGGGCAGATATTAAGAAAATCGTCTAGATAGTGAAGGAGGTGAGGGATGGCAAAGTTAGTAGTAATGATCCACTCAATGGCACTGGCAACCTGGTCGAATAGAAACGGGCTGGAGCGTAGGCCGAACGGCAACACTCGGTCAAAGTAATATTGCCCTTGCCACTGAATACCAAGTAGAGACCAATCGGACGGGTGCACAGGGATTAGCCGGAATGCATTGCGGATGTCCAGCTTTGTCAGCAATGCACCCTGCCCGTAGGCCATAATTGTTTGCACTGCATCGTCTATCCGGATATATGACAGGCTAAACGCGGACGGGTCGATGCCATCGTTAACACTATTGCCGACGGGAGCTGATAAATGGTGGATAATGCGTAGTTTACCATTCTTCTTGGGCACCACACCAATGCCCGAGCACTGGAAGGATGGAAATGGAGGGGTGGAATAAGGGCCGCAGGTCTCTCCCTGCGCACAGGATGTTGCTAGATAATCAGATATGTACACGGAATGTTCAGCAGATGAGGGAAGATTTGGGGCTGTCACAGTCTGACGGCGACCAGAGAAGCCTATGCGGAATCCAGATTGTAGGCCCCTGCTCACGCGGGAGGAGAATGCCTTGTCTGGATGATCAGTGAGCAGTCTAGTAAAGCGGGCAACATCAATGGGTGTGTGAATGCATGGCATACTGGAATCAAGAGCAGGGAAGGCGAGCGGGGGAAACTGTGAGTTACTACTACTGTCTGTACATGCCTGCTTCGCGGAAGCAGGGCTAGTGGCATGGCGTCCCGCCATGCTTGTGTCGGGGCCCGGCACGGGTGACTTACTTGCCTGACCGTTTGGCAGGTGGCGCTGATGTGCTGGGCCGTGTGCTCGCGGGGTTGGCAGTGCAGGCCGTTTTTGGGTGGCGGCCTTGGCATTGCAGGCATAGGTGCGCTCTCCCGCATCCCCCTTGGCATCTGGCCCAGTTGAAATTCCGGCAAATTGGGCGGCCACCGACTGAGGGTGAGGAATGTGCGCCGCCAAATGGTGTGGCTCTAGAGGGACGAAAGGGACACTGCCCCCCAGCGGATGGGGGGTGAACAAGTGAGCATGCAAAGCACGGAGTTCGAGCCTTGCCGGTAGTGCTCAGCTGCCATATATTATGGTCGATCACATCCCAGCGACGGGCAGGGTTGCTAGCCGCCGCGCGGCGAAATTGCCGATCATACTCGAGCCAGCCATCCGGGACAAATTTCCGGTTGGCTTCCGTGATGATGGCCTGGTACCCGACTAGTTCGGAGGCTCTTTCCGGAGCTGCTTGCAGGATGGTGTGGAGCACCACCGTCCAAGCCTCCAGCCACGTCGCAAGATCGCACACGTGGCGCCGTGTGGAGGCTTTGGGCGAGAACTCCTGCGTTAGGCGCACGGGTGTGCCGTCCATAAGGTGCATCTGCACACCTGTGCTGGAGGGGTTTGGGGCTAATCCAACCGGGTCCACCAACAACTCAGACAAATCTAGGAACTCACCGGCAAGGATTCTGTCCCGTGTCCTCTGCGGGATGGTGGTGGTAGGGAGCTGCTGCTCCGCTGATCGTGGCCGCCAGGTAGCTGCGACCGGTTCCGATGCAATTTCGGTTGTTGTGGTGCTGATCGCGGATGTAGCCGGTGGTGGGGCCATGGCGCGGCGCTGGGAATCCAGAAACGCTGGCAGTGTTTCAGTCAGCACTTCTGCGATCGTGGCTCGAAGGCTTTCGGCCGGGATCACTGATTGTTGCGCCGGGGGTTCAGGCATTGCAACCTGTGGAGCAACAGCGCTCTGGGAGACGGACGCCGCTGGCGGACCGCGTGGGAAGTTGTTTCGCGAGGCCGGATCTGTGGCGGAATCGCTCAGGCTCGGAGGTTGAGAGGAGGCAGGGGCAGCTACCTCGGGAACAGCAGTCCTGCTACTAGTCCTAGTCCGTCGAGGCATAGCGAATGGTGAGGTCAGGGAGTTGCAAGATCCGAAAAGCCGAGAAACTGTGAGAAAGGAACAAACCGGTGTTCTTCTCACGGCGCAAGCAAAGCAAATATGAAGTAGCAATGTGGCCAGCGCGAAGTATGGTGTATGCGTTACGGGTTCAAGCTCCGATGTGTGCTGCAGCCGCATATGGCTGATTGGCTGGCGAGTTCAGGTGAGTTCCGGCGTACGCATGTTGCATGCCACCGCAGCGTGCATGTGCGTGTTACTTGACATGCATCAATGAATAGCGTGGGATCTGCGGGCTCTTTGGAAGCCGCTGGAGCTGTGAAGTGGTGGCTTGTGCAATGTGTTAACCTACATTACCGCAAGCTCTAATGTGCTATGCAAAATTCGAGTACGAGTACTCTATTTTTTCCGATCGAGTATTCGAGTATACGACTATTGCCTGCACTGTCACTTTCCCCATTTCCAGCATCACGGCACATGCCACGGTTCACTTGTCCGCATGCACACACATTACGTACATACATGGATCACGTGTTCACGCATTCACGCCCGACCTCAATAACAATAGCCTTGAATAGGGCACAAATGTGCAGTATTATCAGATGTGATATCAATCATATCAATCATAATAATATTATTATTATCGATATGTGACGGTGAAATTCTCACAACAGCCAACCCTAGAAGGCAACCAAGAGCCACTAGTCAAATAAATTGAAACTAAAAGAAGTACACACAATCAGTGATTCTGAGCTCCACTGAGGAGACTAAACGCGTTCAAACAGCCACCTGCTCAGAAGTTAGTTAAATAAATGAATAAAGAAAGAAAGAACTGATGGAACATCATGATACGCACTGGCTGCAACTATCTGTCTACAGGTCAGGCAAAGGAGGCAAGTCATCGGCTTCTTCCTCTGCAAACCTCTCAAGCCGTGGCATCAACTGCTGGACCGCCACAGGGGCAGCAGTTCTTGCTGCCTGAAGACCACTGTTTGCATGAAGGAAGACGAGTGCATCAACGTTCTCGTGCGTTAGACTTGCTCGTAGTTTGCTGACAATGATGCCAGCCGCTGAAAATACTCGCTCCGACGGCACAGAGGTGGCAGGTATGCACAGCACGCGCTTTGCCAACCTTGCCATGGTGGGAAACCTGTCCGCATTCGTCCTCCACCAATCGAGTGGGTCCACAGATGAGCCTACTTGTTTCTCCGTGAAGAATTGGGTTACCTCCACCTCACAATCCGATGCTGCCGATGAAGTTGTGGATGGCTCGACGCTAGGGCACGCGAAGAACAACGACATGTCCTCTTCCATAGGTCGCTTGGCAGGTGGCTCCAGAATACATTCGTCATCACAGCTGCTCCCATTGCTGTCGGCAGTGATTTGAGCACACACCCGGCGAACAATCTCTGACTTCAACTCGTCCTTGTCTTCGTCATTGTCCAAGAATCCGAGGCTCCGTGACCTGGGTCCAGTGCTGCAGATACAGATGGCAGCGAGATTGGGTCAAATGGATCGAGGACAACTTCACCTCGATTTCCATTGCCAGTGATTTCCGGAAATCCGCAGCCGATGCCGAGAGTTCCTCATTCGCAGTACGAAGACCACGTAGCAAAGACTTGGCCACCGGCACCACCAACGTCTGTGTACAGTAGGTTTCCCCACCAAGAACAGTGGTAGCCTTTGCTGGTGCCTCCAGTGCTGCCACTATCTCCTTGGCGAGATTCCACTGGTGGTCCTTCAACTGCAGGTGCCGATGGGAGCTCTTGGTCAGCTCGGGGTCTTCCAAAACCGCCATGATTGGCAGCCTCAGGTGAATCAGGCGCTGGAGCATCAGAAAGGAGCTGTTCCATCGCGTTGGAACATCCTGGATGACTCGTAGAGGAGTGCCAGACTTGCTAGCTGACGCCATAGCTACTTGCTTGTTGTTTAGCGCCTCTGTGCTCTTGGCACTGTGGCTGAAGTGACCAACAAGTTGCCTGGAAGAAGCCAGCAGTTTCGTGACAGGCCTTGATGCTGTTATAGCATGCCTGATGCAGGTTTGCAACCGATGGGCAGCGCAAGCTTGGTAATCCCAGTGATGTTGGCTGCGAAGAAGTCTGCTCGCTGCCATCTGGTTTGGTGCTTCATCATGGACTAAGCACTGCACAGTGTCATGCGCAATGTTGAATCTGCTAAGAACTGCTTCTGTGCTGGCAGCAAGGGTTTCCGCTGTGTGACTCCCGTTGAAGCGCTTGGTCTCAAGAACGTGCGACACCAGTTTCCAGTCGTCCGTGACATAGTGGCTCGTGTACGTTACAAAGGAGACCACAGCCTTCGATGTCCACGCATCCGTTGTGATAGCAATTGATGTAGCACCTGCTAATTTTGTCACAAGCTCCTTTCGTGCAGCATCGTGCCGCCGACGCACCATGGATGCGATGGTCGTCCGTGAGGGAACGGTGAATGAAGGTTCCACGAAGGACAGCAATTGCCTGAACCCAGGATCGTTGACTATCCCAAGAGGACGCATATCAGCAGTGACCCAGTCGGCGATGAGCCCCCGAATCTGAGTTGACCTGGCCGAATTACAAGCTCTCTTCGAGTGCGATACTGCAAACGATTCCATTGGCTTTGTCCCAACCGTGGTACGTGTTGCTGCCGCTGCGCTGCGCTCGCTCGGCTCGCTGCCTTTCTCACTTTCTCACTTTCCCTCTTCTCCTTGTAACTTTGGCATGTTAGCAGATGATTGGACAAGTTCGTTGTACCACCCGTATATTTGTATGTGCCCTGGCAATGTTTGCACAAGACTTGCTTTGACACTGGTTGGGAGAAGTGGTCCCAGACCTTCGATCTCTGACCAGTCTTTCGTGGTAAGCCAGCCCCGCTTGATGACGATGCTTGTTGCAACTCCATTTTTCGTCAGGCAACACTACACTTCACTCAAGCCAACTACTGCAAACGAAAATCACTCAACTACGAAAGGAACTCTTGGATGTGACTGCGAGACCCACGAAGAAAACTGAAGGAGCAGCGACAGCTAGCACGTCTTCTCCGAGTTTCGCTACACGACTGTATTCACGGAGCCCTTCACATCTTTCGTTATGTAAACGGCTCCGTAGTACACGATTGACTCCCGCTCGATCCCACGCGCAGGGATTCCTGCTGAGCTCAACCACGCAAACCGGTACGGTAGCTATCCATAGTCGCATGTACAGGAACTGCTCTCCTCACAACCAAAACCGTTTTCCAGAACCTTTCCAGAACCAAAAGAAGTGCATGCCGCACTGCCCCTGACACTGGAAGCGAAAAGGTGAGAACTCAAACTGCATGCAGCATAGCACAACTTTGAACTAGGTACGCGGAGCGCCGCACTGACACTTGGCTACATGTACCACAAGACCATATGGCAGCAGTATGCGGCATTGCGTGTTACTTTTAGAGAGAGTACGCTAGTAGGTCTACTAGTACTAGTACTCTGCACGCCTTCTGGGCTGTGCACGTAGGTCTACGAGTATGTGACTTGTGACCATGGTTGTTGACTGCATGCACAACACTCTACATGCATGCATGCATGATCGAGTACTCGAATTTTTTCAAAAAAAGCGATCGAGTACTCGAGTATTCGGTATAATCGTTTCACCCCTACTTTTTTCCCATTTGTGCCCACGTGTCACTTTCAACGTACCTCTCTATAACATGACCCAGCCGTGATGTGAGTGGTCGCATTGATTTGATTTTTGGTTTGCTTGTAGGCCGCTGGCAGCCGCATTCAGTGACGCCTAAAATTTGGCACTGCTGTGAATAGTTTAGTCGCAAAGTGAAGAATCACGGGCAAAAAGGCCCAAAACTTCGAGATAGTTTGATATCAGCTTTGAGCAGCCCTGGGCGAGTTGTTTATTGAAATGTCGAATTTTTTCTTGGTTCACTTCCCCATGTCCAGCCAAACAACAAGATCAGGGTGGCGATTGTCAGTTCTTGAGCTTCGAACGGGCAGAAAGGTGAGAAATTGTCGCTTTTTGCCCATTTTTGCCCACGTGTCACTTTCAACGTACCTCTCTATAACATGATCCAGCTGTGATGTGAGTGGCCGCATTGATTTGATTTTTGGTTTGCTTTTAGGCCGCTGGCACCCGCATTCAGTGACGCTTAAAATTTGGCACTGCTGTGAATAGTTTACTCGCAAAGTGAAGAATCACGGGCAAAAAGGCCCAAAACTTCGAGATAGTTTGATATCAGCTTTGAGCAGCCCTGGGCGAGTTGTTTATTGAAATGTGGAATTTTTTCTTGGTTCACTTCCCTATGTCCAGCTAAACAACAAGATCAGGGTGGCTATGGTCAGTTGTTGAGCTTCGAACGGGCAGAAAGGTGAGAACTTTTCGCTTTTTGCCCATTTGTGCCCACGTGTCACTTTCAACGTACCTCTCTATACCATGACCCAGCTGTGATGTGAGTGGTCGCATTGATTTGATTTTTGGTTTGCTTGTAGGCCGCTGGCACCCGCATTCAGTGACGCTTATAATTTGGCACTGCTGTGAATAGATTAGTCGCAAAGTGAAGAATCACGGGCAAAAAGGCCCAAAACTTCGAGATAGTTTGATATCAGCTTTGACCAACCCTGGGCGAGTTGTTTATTGAAATGTGGAATTTTTTCTTGGTTCACTTCCCTATGTCCAGCCAAACAACAAGATCAGGGTGGTGATTGTCAGTTCTTGAGCTTCGAACGGGCAGAAAGTTGAGAAATTGTCGCTTTTTTCCCATTTGTGCCCACGTGTCACTTTCAACGTACCTCTCTATAACATGACCCAGTTGTGATGTGAGTGGTCGCATTGATTTGATTTTTGGTTTGCTTGTAGGCCGCTGGCAGCCGCATTCAGTGACGCTTAAAATTTGGCACTGCTGTGAATAGTTTAGTCGCAAAGTGAAGAATCACGGGCAAAAAGGCCAAAAACTTCGAGATAGTTTGATATCAGCTTAGAGCAGCCCTGGGCGAGTTGTTTATTGAAATGTCGAATTTTTTCTTGGTTCACTTCCCTATGTCCAGCCAAACCACAAGATCAGGGTGGCTATGGTCAGTTCTTGAGCTTCGAACGGGCAGAAAGGTGAGAAATTGTCGCTTTTTGCCCATTTGTGCCCACGTGTCACTTTCAACGTACCTCTCTATAACATGATCCAGCTGTGATGTGAGTGGTCGCATTGATTTGATTTTTAGTTTGCTTGTAGGCCGCTGGCACCCGCATTCAGTGGCGTCTAAAATTTGGCACTGCTGTGAATAGTTTAGTCGCAAAGTGAAGAATCACGGGCAAAAAGGCCCAAAACTTCGAGATAGTTTGATATCAGCTTTGAGCAGCCCTGGGCGAGTTGTTTATTGAAATGTGGAATTTTTTCTTGGTTCACATCCCTATTTCCAGCTCAACAACAAGATCCGGGTGGCTATGGTCAGTTCTTGAGCTTCGAACGGGCAGAAAGGTGAGAATTTTTCGCTTTTTGCCCATTTGTGCCCACGTGTCACTTTCAACGTACCTCTCTAGAACATGACCCAGCTGTGATGTGAGTGGTCGCATTGATTTGATTTTTGGTTTGCTTGAAGGCTGCTGGCACCCGCATTCAGTGACGCTTATAATTTGGCACTGCTGTGAATAGATTAGTCGCAAAGTGAAGAATCACAAGCAAAAAGGCCCAAAACTTCGAGATAGTTTGATATCAGCTTTGAGCAGCCCTGGGCGAGTTGTTTATTGAAATGTGGAATTTTTTCTTGGTTCACTTCCCTATGTCCAGCCAAACAACAAGATTAGGGTGGCGATTGTCAGTTCTTGAGCTTCGAACGGGCAGAAAGGTGAGAAATTGTCGCTTTTTGCCCATTTGTGCCCACGTGTCACTTTCAACGTACCTCTCTATAACATGATCCAGCTGTGATGTGAGTGGTCGCATTGATTTGATTTTTGGTTTGCTTGTAGGCCGCTGGCACCCGCATTCAGTGGCGTCTAAAATTTGGCACTGCTGGGAATAGTTTAGTCGCAAAGTGAAGAATCACGGGCAAAAAGGCCCAAAACTTCAAGATAGTTTGATATCAGCTTTGAGCAGCCCTGGGCGAGTTGTTTATTGAAATGTGGCATTTTTTCTTGGTTCACTTCCCTATGTCCAGCTAAACAACAAGATCAGGGTGGCTATGGTCAGTTCTTGAGCTTCGAACGGGCAGAAAGGTGAGAACTTTTCGCTTTTTGCCCATTTGTGCCCACGTGTCACTTTCAACGTACCTCTCTATACCATGACCCAGCTGTGATGTGAGTGGTCGCATTGATTTGATTTTTGGTTTGCTTGTAGGCCGCTGGCACCCGCATTCAGTGACGCTTATAATTTGGCACTGCTGTGAATAGATTAGTCGCAAAGTGAAGAATCACGGGCAAAAAGGCCCAAAACTTCGAGATAGTTTGATATCAGCTTTGACCAACCCTGGGCGAGTTGTTTATTGAAATGTGGAATTTTTTCTTGGTTCACTTCCCTATGTCCAGCCAAACAACAAGATCAGGGTGGTGATTGTCAGTTCTTGAGCTTCGAACGGGCAGAAAGTTGAGAAATTGTCGCTTTTTTCCCATTTGTGCCCACGTGTCACTTTCAACGTACCTCTCTATAACATGACCCAGTTGTGATGTGAGTGGTCGCATTGATTTGATTTTTGGTTTGCTTGTAGGCCGCTGGCAGCCGCATTCAGTGACGCCTAAAATTTGGCACTGCTGTGAATAGTTTAGTCGCAAAGTGAAGAATCGAGGCAAAAAGGCCCAAAACTTCGAGATAGTTTGATATCAGCTTTGAGCAGCCCTGGGCGAGTTGTTTATCGAAATGTGGAATATTTTCTTGGTTCACCTCCCTATGTCCAGCCAAACAACAAGATCAGGGTGGCGATTGTCAGTTGTTGAGCTTCGAACGGGCAGAAAGGTGAGAACTTTTCGCTTTTTGCCCATTTGTGCCCACGTGTCACTTTCAACGTACCTCTCTATAACATGACCCAGCTGTGATGTGAGTGGTCGCATTGATTTTTTTTTAGTTTGCTTGTAGGCCGCTGGCACCCGCATTCAGTGGCGTCTAAAATTTGGCTCTGCTAAGAATAGTTTAGTCGCAAAGTGAAGAATCACGGGCAAAAAGGCCCAAAACTTCGAGATAGTTTGATATCAGCTTTGTGCATCCCTGGGCGAGTTGTTTATTGAAATGTGGAATTTTTGCTTGGTTCATTTCCCTATGTCCAGCTAACCAACAAGATCAGGGTGGCTATGGTCAGTTCTTGAGCTTCGAACGGGCAGAAAGGTGAGAACTTTTCGCTTTTTGCCCATTTGTGCCCACGTGTCACTTTCAACGTGCCTCTCTATAACATGACCCAGTTGTGATGTGAGTGGTCGCATTGATGTGATTTTTGGTTTGCTTGTAGGCCGCTGGCGG